ATGTCATAGGCTTTGATCCATCCCCCTACGCCCCTATGGTGACATCAGTTGCCACAATAGATACTAGATGAGACTAGTTAGTACTGAAGTATGGACCCGAGTAGCAAAATAATGCTAAAGCTTCACATATGAAACGTCTCAAATCGCCCACGACCGTCCTCTGCGCACCGCTTCAATGCACTTAATTCAGCCCCTGAGGCGGATTGAATGCAACGGCAATGACAAGTGGAACATATGAACCACCAAGCAATAAATCTCCACCAAGCTAAACACCAGAGGATCTATCCAGTGATTTGTGCAATGGAACTGGGCTCTGAAGCGCTCTAGACGTAGGGATGTTCATACCTTTCGCTAGAGATTCTAAACCACCATGGTAACAATCACTGCAATAAGACAAATACTAATAACTAATAAATCATGCCTGCCGTTTTTTTTGGGCTTATTCCTGGGTTGATGACATGTAGAAAGGAAAACATCAGGAAACAACATGGGCGTGTCTTTTTTGCAAGGCTTAAGGCCTAAGCCATGGGTTTAAACATGTACCATCATTTTCCCACGATTTTCCCATAGCCCAAATCTTCCCTCTGGCAGTTGATATCTCTGGGACGCCAGCAGATCTGCGACTCAATGCCGCGACAAGCGAAGGCCGGTTTGCTCAAGACCTTCACAGCCTCGGACGACTCCACAAGGGAATCTGGTAAGTTGACATAGCTATGGACAATTGCCCATTCATTGTTGATTTGTGATGATTTGCTAATGAAACCCATGAACATATTCTATTAAATGAATGGTGATGATTCAGCTATTCAGGATGTTCCATAGGAATGTCAGTTTACCAGAGGGTAAGATGATCATCCACTCAAGTTGACTCAATTTAGGTGTACCATAGGTGTACCATGGTGTACCGCATTTCTGGACAAACCATATCGCGCATCTTTCAAAGTCATCCACCGCAGACTAGTTCCATGTTCAACCAGCAAGGATTCAAATCTGAGACTTTCTAATCATGATGTCACGTCTGGTAATCAGATGTAATCAACAGTTTCCAGTTGACATCACAAGTTGTAGATCTTATCCTTGAGTCCTCAGCAGTTGATCACCAATTAGACCAGCGGTGGATTATTTTTCACCTGCTGTGAAATTCATTGAATGCCATCTGCACCATCCCCAGTATCACCATTTCTTGGGTAGTACATGCCATCCCCGAAGGTAGATTTATTATTATTATTGTTATTATTACTATTATTGGTTTTACCAGATTAAATCATAATCAACCAGTATCATAATCATTCAAAATCATATTCAACCATTATCTTTATCACATTATAATATAGACCTGATAGTGATATTATATTATATCATATAAATATAGTATGTATATATATATGTCAACTGATCAACCAATCCCAGAATAGTTGTTTCTTTTTCGACAAAATCCGCAGGAGACCCCTTGTTTCTGGCAGCTTGGCGCCGGGCCCAAATGACCCCCGTCTTCCTCTCCTGTTACGTGTACCAGCAACGGAAATCATGGCTGGGAAATCCAATATCAATGGAGGTTTTTAGGGAAAAAGTAGATAAAATCATCTATAAATGGTGGATTACTTTTAGCCCTATAGATTTCTGATGATTTCTGCATACTTGATGGATATGTTTTTCCGAATTGTTCCTATGCAGATCAAAAACCCTGAAACAAAAAATCAAGGATATCACGTATGCCTTCTTTTAGGTGTCTACACAAATGAACTGAACTAGTCTCTTCCCCCTGATATGAAATAATCCCAAAGAAAACTCTAGTCTTGTATTGGATCCGCTCATTTTGGGGCACGGATCCCTATGGGGAGTATTTAATATTGGCACAAAGGGATTGCAACAGTACCTCATTCACCTTCACGGGACCAATGTTCAACCCCAGACCCAAGATTTATATCATCTTATATACCTTTACTTCCTGTTCATTTTGAGACATTTTGACTCTTCCCAGAGATGTCTAAAGATTTTCTCCAGTTGAGGTCCACCCAACTGTCGCCGTCCCGCCGCAGTCCTTGGCACGCAGGACTTGTGCAAAGGCACCACTGCCCACCAGCGGCGCCTTTGCAATCCCCAGAGTGGGATCCGTGATTTTCTTTTGAGGGAGGCAATGTTCTTGAAAAACAACCGAAAAGTATACGTGATTTGTATATATATATACATATCTATAGAATCATTAATACAATTATATATATTTAATTATACCATATATATATATATGTAATTATATCATATATATATATATACATATACATACACCATCATCATACACCTATAAAAGTACTTGACATGCACGGTCTTGTTGCTGGGTAAATCTGACAATTTTGTTGATGTCAATGGCACCAATTGCTAGATACTACGCATATCCTCATTATGATGAACGGCAACTCCATGTTCCTTGGACATTCACTGACTGCTGGTGCAAAGACCTTCCTGCGGGGTATATCCAAAGTTTGGGACCCGCGGACTCTTTGGACACTGCAGTTTGTCCCAAGACAGTCGCAAAGCTTTGGGCACGGGTTTTATCCAAAATATTTTCTTAGTAGGGATGCTGTACCCCAGCAATGCCGTGTTTATGGTGAAAATGTCAAGTGATGCCTGCAATCATCTTGTCATCTCCATCTCCCAGATCTGCCTCGTGCTCCTACAAGAGGCGCCTATTTATCTAATTGCCACTCGGCCCATCGCCCATCGCCGACCATCAAACTGCTGTACCGTGGCTAACCTTACATACGCCTAAAACATGTTGAATAACCAACATTAACCAAGCAACCCAGCATCCTTTCTCGGTTTACCCAGCTCCAGGTGTGCCGCGACATTTTGACTTGTGACCGTCGATCGATCTATTTGATGCTATATAGCTGGGTTTGTCTGTGAAAGTTCACCCCCCAAAAAATCATGGTTTGAATCACCTTATATCCATTGATGAAACGCCATTTCCCCAAACAAATAACTTATCTAAAATATTTTCTTCGAAGGGAATTCCTGATCAGACAAACCCGTTTCTCAAAAGTTCGGATTCAACGCCATCTGTGTCATGCAACTCCTCGGAGCAGACAATGTGATGGGCTGTTGGTGGTTTCAATACATCCTATATTGAAATATTATGTAATGGGGATCAAAATCAACAATAGGATATGATGGGGATCTAATGGGCATGTATATGGCTCTCTCTCTCTCTCTCTGTCTCTCTGTGTGTAAATTTCATTTCGAGAAAAAAAAAGGATCAAACTTGGGGATACCCTATTTTCAGAAAAAAAACAAATTCCCTCTCTCTCTATATATAATATATATAATATGTATTTCTATATATATATATCAATAAAACCCTCATCATTCCAAGTAGGGAACGGAAAAACGAGAACAACTTTAAATAGAAACCAGCAACCAGTTACAGGTAACGTCACATGCTGCTGGAGTATCGGACTGGGTGGTTTACGGTAGCTTAGGTGGCTATGCATGCGCCAGGCAATGGAGTTTCCAATTCTTGGGCCGAATTGACTTGCCTCCTGGCTGCGGACTCTTGGACAAAACGATGTCAAGACCTATGTGAGTTTCCAATGACTATCTTCTGAAATGGGCATGGCTTGGCCTTCAAAACCCCTCCACAGATTGGCTGGTGATCTTTCTGTAACGGCCAATTTGATCCAAGTTTGAAGTACTACTCAGGGGCTTTATATATCCCGGGACAGTTCCCATGCCATTTCCAAAGCCACAATACCTGAGAATAGATCAGGGTCCACTGGGGTGCCTCTTCAAACATTTATCAACCAGATTGCTGACCTGTAATGAAACGCTCCTGGGAACCCCGGTAGACTTTCTCTGCATGAGGAACTTCTGACAATAGTACGTGTGATAAACAAAACTCGCCGCAGTTTGGCCATTGCAGATAGATGTGTAAACAAATTGTAGCACTAGAAACAAACACTTCACTCACCTAAACGAACCCATGGAAACCATGTTGTTTGTTTGGATTATCCCAACAAGGACAGTTCGGAACCAGCTAGTTGTGATCACATCCATTCCAGTGGATACAGCATACATCTTTGGATCGCAGCGTGCGGACCAGTGTCTTTTTGCCATAACCTGAGCGAGACTCGAGCTGATCAGCCCTGTCTTGAAGATACCCAACTTTCACAACCAGAGAAGGCTATTGATATACCCTCTGGTAAACTAACATAGCTATTGAAAATGGCCATTTATAGTGAGTTTTCCCATTAAAAATGGTGATTTTCCATAGCTATGTTAGTTTACCAGAGGGTAACTGATATGTATTGATACCCACACCAATTGACATGGAGAGGAACTGGGACCATTGGGACCATTGGGACCATGAAAATCTCCATCTTGGTGACTAGTTCAGCCAGGGATTGTGGATATGGATGGATCAAGTGGAACTGTACCTGCTCCAATCCATGAGCTGCGTTGAATGTAGCAGTTTGATGCTGGTGAACCATTGTTGTTAGCGAATCGTTGCTCACACATTTTGGGCCCATTCGAATGATTCCCCCATCCCTTACTGTTGATTCCCCATGTTTACATCTCCGAATCGTCCATGGTCCAAGCCCATTGTTGTGTATTGCCGTGCGCTAACGGAGGATTTCATGTGTCATGAAAAAACAGTGCTGATGTCCATTCCCTATTTCCACAGTCATTTCCGTGGTAAAGCCACTCAAAAACCATTTGGGGATGATTTGAACCTCTGTCCTTGGTGGTTCACCCCACAAAACGCAGGTGAATTATAGTTAAAATAGTTAAAACAAAACGTATCCCAAAAACATAAGTGGACAAGCTCTCCCTGAACTGGGGTTATATATAACTCGCTTGCTGCAACCAATAGTTTCACTTGGATCATCCCTACTATACAATTAAATCCCATTCAATCCCTACCCAATCCCAGTAATCCCGGGGATAAAAATACGTAACATTAAACCCCACGCCGACGAGCTCGCTCGATCCTGCATCTGCGGGACAGTCGCTTCTTCTTCCATGGGGATGTTTCCATTTGTAAAGTCGTGCATTCGGGCCGTAACCGTCCTCATGGCGAACCGGCGGAACAGCCATCGTTATTCTGTGATAAAGCTAGTGGTTTATAATATTTAAGCCATAATTAGTTCATCCCATTCCGTATATTAGGGGATATTCCACATATAACTCGGGGGTTTATAACCCATTTACTAAGTGGGGCCTGCACCCCAAGTAGCAGGACGATTGATTGGTTATGATTAGTTGACTGTAAAAACAACATGGGCCCTGAAACCAAAAACTGATTCGAATTAATATGTTGAAGGAGGGCATGCAAAACTACGAAACAATAACACTTGCTTTTAAGCCGATGAACACACGGTGTTCAACCAACAAACATCATGGGGTTCAAACCCAAAAAATGGTTTAAACTGGCGGGGTTCAATTCAATTCAACAAAAATGGAAATATCAACAAATCAACATGGGCACTAGGGGTCTACCGTCTACCTATATACCAATCTTCCCACAGTGCCCATTGAAGATGATTCCAACATCACAGGAGCGCCACAGCGCCACTGCGTGGTGGCAAGGATAGCTACTGTAAGCCGCTAGGGGAAGCAAATCTAGTCCAAGTCAGTCAAACCATATCAAGTCCAACCTTACCTCTACGTTAATCGAGTCTTTAAGCACATGAAGTATCTCATTTCTACAATTTATTGATTCCATCTACTACAGTAATCCATCTGTCTGTCCGTCTGTAGTCGGTCTGCCGGTCTACCCATCCATAATTCTTTCTTTTCAGCATCTGTCCATCTATCTACCCATCTGCCAAGCTATCTACCTGTCTATCTGCCAACGTATCTACCCATCTATCTGTCGATCTATCTATACAGTACTCTGTCTCTCTGTCTGTCTGTCTGTCTGCCTGTCTGTCCGTATTTCTATCTATCTATCTATCGATCGATCGATCGATCTATCTATCTATCGATCGATCTATCTATTCCCCCTCTTATACTTATCTTATATAATCTATCTATCATGTTTAATCTGTCTAATCTACCTAATCTATTAAGTCTTACTAATCTATCAAACCTAATCTATGAAACCTATCGAATCTATCTAATATACATATATATGTATCCAATCTATATCTAAAGGATTAATCTAATCTATCTAATCTATCCAATCTATCTAGTCTCTCAAATATATACATCTATTCAATCTAACCTACTAAATCCACAAAATGTATCCATCAGATCATCAACTCTAATTATCTATTTTATCTATCTATACCAATGTATGTAACCTGTCTCAATATCTATCTGTACTAATGTATGTAACCTGTCTCAATATCTATCCATCCAATCTATCTATATAACCTGTCTAATATATTCTTACCTGGAAAGCATAGTGTACCATTTTTTTGGTCACTGCGTTTCGTGCAGGTATTTACGCAAATTTTACAGATATTTACGCCACTTTTGCATTTTGAGCGATGGCTAACCTCCAACAAAATCGAACAGTGACGTGTTCTTGTCCGAAACTCGAAGTAGACCATAAAAATAGGCAACTGACACGTTCCAGGTATATATCTTTCTATCCAGGAGTATCTATATATCTACTTGTCTGTCTGTCTGCCTGCCTTCCTGCCTGCCTGTCTCTCTGTCTGTCTCTGTCTGTCTCTGTCTGTCTCTGTCTGTCTCTGCCTGCCTCTGCCTGTCTCTGTCTGTCTCTGTCTGTCTCTGTCTGTCTCTGTCTGTCTCTGTCTGTCTTTGTCTGTCTCTGTCTGTCTCTCCAGCTGTCTCTGTCTGTCTCTCTGTCTGTCTCTGTCTGTCTCTGTCTGTCTCTGTCTGTCTCCGTCTGTCTCTGTCTCTGTCTGTCTCTGTCTGTCTCTGTCTCTCTGTCTGTCTATCTCAATTTCTATCTCTTTCTTCTCTTTCTCTCTCGCTCTCTCTATCTCTGTCTCTCTCTCTCTCTCTCTCCCTCTCTCTCTCCCTCTCTCTCTCACACACTCTCTCTCTCACACTCTCTCTCTCTCTATCCCTCTATCCCTCTCTCTCTCCCTCCCTCCCTCTCTCTCTCTCTCTCTCACTCACTCACTCACTCTCTCTCTCTCTCTCTCTCTTCTCTCTATCCCTCTATGTATTTATTGATCGATCCATCCATCGATCTATCTATCCATCTTTCTACCCGTCTATCCATCCATCCATCCATCCATCCATCCATCCATCCATCCATCCATCCATCCATCCATCCATCCATCCATCCATCCATCACTCCATCCATGTAGCCATCTAGCCATCTAGCCATCTATCCATCTATCTGTTTTATTTATAGATATACATCATGTTCTTTATCGTCCAAAGTTTTCACCCATCTTCACCCAGTGCTTCACCCGATCGGTCGTCCACCGAGCATCCGCTTTGATGTCCACCACGACCTTTAACTCGCTGCCGGGAACTTGGAAAACGACCACGCCCACGTCGTTAGAAGTGCCGCTGGAGAGAGAGGATCTGGCCATGTTTGGATCAATGGATAGATAAGCTGGCTAAGAATTATTGTGATTTATAACATTTTATAACACTGTCTAACTATGGCAAAATGTTAATAGCTACAGCTAGATTAATAACTGTTGCTTGTTTATAGCCATGGTGTATGGTTGATAACTCTGCTTTCTACTCTGGTCTATGGTTCATAGCTAAGTTAACAATTATGCTAAAAAAACACCATGTTATAACTAGGTCAAGAACTACGGTTCCTGATCGATGTATCTATAGTTCGTGCGGGCTTAACACCAACTTACAACTGGGGGTTGCCACCTTGCAATAATTTATGGCAGAGCACTACTTTTGTGTGTTGTGCTTTTAGGAGTCATTTTGTATTGTAGGGATCTGGGCAGAAACTTCCGCCAAGAAAAAATGCGTTGTGACCTTGGGGTAATGTTTCTTCTTCCTTTGCGGGGGTACTCTGGCACTCGGGATGATGTATATTATATACTCACTCTTTACCAGTTGCGAAGAGATTTGTTTGTGGTGGAAGCACAATCCAAATCATGAGTTGGCAACTCAGTACCAATGTTCCTGCTTATCGAACTACTATGAGCTGTATCAACCAACAATAATGTCAAGTTCATATTAATCAATGCCCCCCAGAAGGTAGGTACGTAGGAAGAAGGTTCTGCTAAGGTTCTCCCCCCAAATAACCGACCTCCCAGGTTGAAGTCATACGAGATCAACTTGGAATCGATATCAATCCTTTTAAACCTAAAAGAAATCAAAAGATTGGACAGGATTTCATTTGAGACCAATCTACTTTCAATTGATTTTCCTTTTAAACCAAAAAGAAATCTAAAGACTAGTATAGATAGATTCGTAAGGATTTCAATTGATATCGATCTACTTTCAATTGATTTTTCTTTAAAACCAAAAAGAAATCTAAAGAGGCCAGAGGGGTTGATTAATTACGGGGGAACCCTGCCTACTATTTGGTGGGGACATGGGCTCATGATGGGTACCCTTTGGGAGCTTCTCAAAATGATGAATGGATTTTAATCTAAAAATGATCATTTGGGAAATCGTTTTTGTTTGAAATTTAGCCTTGGACCAAGATTGCAAGATTAAGCCTGTGCCAGCAAAGTCACAAGTCTGTGACTGCAAAGTCACAAGCCTTCAAAGCAAAGTCTGTGGAAAACAAAAGCAATGAGCAGCATGGGGAGAAGAGTTGGGGACAGCAAGGGTTTATCAGCATCCATGAGAAGCAGCAGTTTCAGCCAGCATGACTATGTTCAAAAGAATTAGCATTGATATTGATAAACAAGAAAAACGGGAATGTCTCTGCGGGGGTTGATCAATCCCTAGTGGATTATAATACTAATACTTGACATTAACCTAGAAAACAAAATGGCTTCGCGAAGCGTTAAAATCTTTAAAATCATTGAATGAAATTCAGTCACATTCTACAGGAGGCCATGAAAAAAATACAGGGCTTCAGCATGGTGGGCAGAGGTGACCCAGCTTGATGAGGATCATTGCGACCATTGATGCTGGCAATGGCTATAAACAATTGTGGGATGTTGATTTCTCTTAAGGTTGAATCATATTAAATTGCCGTTTTGACTTGCTAAATTATGTGAAGGCGACATTTATCATGTTGAACCCATTACGAAATCAATGGATTCTGAATGGATTCCTGGCACGTGGCCGACCTTCTGCCATGTTAAAACCGCCGGACCATGGCGAAAGCCATGCGCGACCTGTTTTGCCATTTAATCCAGTCATGCAAACTTGGTGTGCTGTACTTGTTTGTGACCCATGGCCAAATCAATAGGACACCCAGTACCAAAAGGGCCCCTGTCCCCTGTTGGCCGGATTCAGCCTTTCCACTGTTGTCAAGCTGTGAGCACATAAGTTGCACGAAGAATCCCTTTATCTGCATTTCCTTTGAAAAGAACAGGCTCTGACACTGCTCAAGCAGATGCGGCTAGACATAAAATTCCTTGATCCCCTGACATTTCACCATCTATTCAAATCATGGATTCCCACATTGAAATTCAGGAGCGACAAATGGTGTCGTATATTTAGTGCAGGAATGGGTTCAAAGGTCCTAGCTCAAAGGTCCTAGCTGCTTGATTTCAACACAAATATCACTGTCTTGTCGCGTCAAATCTGAAGGATACCCAGAACATCCGAATCCAAAGACTAGAAATGTGAAGCAGCAGCCAACACTCACCCCTAGGTCGCCTGTCTTCCTTCAATAAGCGCACAGCAACTCCTTCAGGCATTTGGCGTTTCAATCCAACTGGAGAAGTCAATTCCGTCATCATGTCTATTGCGCGCATACCGGTATATTGTGTTTGAAGATGTTGTAACATTTCACATGCATGTATTCCAACTCGGTAAAGAGCATAATGTTCAAGTGCGTATGTGCAATTACAATCAATTGCATGACAAGCCGGGCCAATATTAGTTCCCAAGAACTGCCATAATTTGTGGCGCGGGGTACCCGAATCGCCACAAACAGGAACGTATCCCAAGCAAAGAACTTAAAACATCTTGAAACCACCTACCCATCTTAGTCACCCCGAAAACAAACAGTAAACATTTAAAAACAACCGAAACATATACGGTTTATACAAATATATATATATATATACAGATACATACATACATACATACATACATACATACATACATACATACATACATACATACATACATACATACATACATACATACATACATACATCCATACATACATACATACATCCATACACCCATACATCCATACATCCATACATCCATACATCCATACATCCATACATCCATACATCCATACATCCATACATCCATACATCCATAGATCCATACATCCATACATCCATACATCCATACATGCATACATGCATACATGCATACATGCATGCATGCATGCATACATACATACAGACAGACAGACCGACAGACATACAGACATACAGACATACAGACATACAGACATACAGACATACAGACATACAGACATCCAGGCATGCAGGCATGCATGCATGCATACATCCATCCATCCATACCATACCATACAGTACCATACAGTACCATTACATCACAACACATCACATCACATCACATCACATCACATTACATCACATCACATCACATCACATCACATTACATTACATACATACATACATATTGGCTTTTGAATCCCTGCTACTAACCAGCCAAACATGCCATTGCCCATCTTCCCACAGCTGTTTCTTGGCACCTGGAATAGGCCGCTGTGTGGTTGCGCTCACCACCCGCACGGTAAGCTTCCAAGATGCCAGCTCCGAGCTCTCAAACTCCGGCTGCGGCACAGGCTGCTCCGGTTCCGGCTCAGGCACCGGCTGCATTGGTTGCTGTGGCTGCAGTGGCTGCACTGGCTGCACTGGCTGCACGGGCCGCACAGGCTGCACCGGCTGCTCTGGCTGCAGCGGCTGCACGGGCTGCAGCGGCTGCACGGGCTGCAGCGGCTGCACGGGCTGCACCGGCTGCACGGGCTGCACCGGCGGCACCTGCACTGCCTCACAAGCTGACTTTCGGAATTCATGGAAGATCTATGGCAACTGGCAACCTTGGGTGCTAGGATAAGGGGTTAATTTCTCAACGGCAACCGATTGGATGTAATCCCTTCCTCCTAATACTAAATCCCTCCCAAATAATAAACACCTCAGGTAGTTTTTAGTATTAGGGAGGTATTTATTATTGGGGAACCCTATTAGTAAAATTACACCCGTAATATATAATAAAAACTTTTTTTCTGATCTCAAGATCAATTAAATTTCCTTACATAGCGCAATGAAAATATTGCCAAAAATTGGATTTCGAAGCGGGCCCTATTAATAAAATTAAAAACCTTAATAATAAAGACTAGTTTGTTCGATTTCAAAATCAATTAAATTTCCTTATATAACTCAATTAACACATTGCCAAAAATTGGATTTCGAAGCGGCCCTATTAATAAAATTAAAACCTGAATAATAAAAACCATTTTTTCCGATCTCAAAATCAATTAAACTTCCTTATATAACGCCATGAAAATATTGCCAAAAATTGAATTTCGAAGCGGACCCTATTAATGAAATTAAACCCTGAATAATAAAAACTATTTTTTCCGATCTCAAAATCAATCAAAAAACCTCACACAACGCCATGAAAATATTGCCAAAAATTGGTTTTCGAAGCGGGCCCTATTAATAAAATTAAACCCTTAATAAAAACGATTTTTTCCGATTTCAAAACAAATTAAATTTCCTCATTTAACGCAATTAAGATATTGCCAAAAATTGGTTTTCGAAGCGGGCCCTAATAAGAAATTAAAAGCCGCCCTAATATAAAAAACTAAAATACATCGGACGGACCCTAATATTAGGCCCTAATAATAAAAACCCCGGGGTGTACTAGTTTTTATTTTTAGGGGGCAAAACCCACAAATGATAGCTTTATTTTTAAATTGTTTTCTAAAGGGGATCAATTAAAAGTCAAATTGGCCAATCTGAAATTTTCCAAAATTTGAGATGGACCCTAGTTTTTAGTATTTGGGGGACGTTTAGTAATAGGAGGAAGAGATTAAAAATTCCTCCATGCACATAGCTCAAATGAAGCTCTTGGCCCACTCACCCTGTGGTTTACCGCTTGTACTCTGCCAGGCAGGGGGATTCAGCAGAATCACAACTGAGTTGCTGCATCGTTCCACCCGAGGACCTCCAAAATATCGGACCTGAGTCAGTACGGCTGACTGCTCAATGACTGGGCCATTATTTTTGGGGCGTACAGTTGCACCAGACTCGAAGAAAGGCGGGTATTGATGTCTATTTGGGAGGGTCACCCCAATGTAGATGAACGACGTTTAAAAAACGCATGTAACTAACTGTGGTGGATCTAGAATCAAACACAATTCGGAAATGAAACTGCTATTTTAGGCAGATCAATAGGATCGATGATTAGAATGGGCCCAGGATGGATCACGATGCCAGGCTTTGGAAATCAGAAACTACATATATATATATATATATATCGTATATCATATGTATATATATATACAATTATATACATATACATGCGAATTCATGAATAACAACTCTAGACCTTGGGGAGGTACAAATTGGCCGCGTCGTTGCTTCACTTGCTTCAGTCCTATCTTCAGCTTCAAGGATCTGGACTTCACAAGTTCACTTTCCCATTCGAAACCAAATCACAAGATCAAATAACTAAAAACTATACACATCTTATAATATATATCTTATATTGTTTTGCAGTGTCTTATATAGTATCTTAAAGTATCTTATATAATATATTCTAGTATCATGTAGTAATGTAGTATGTTCTTGTATCCTAGAGTATCTTATATATATAACATATTTGAATATCTTAGAGTATCTTGTAGTATCTTCTAGTATCTTAAAGTATCTTGTAACATTTTATGGTATCATCTTGCAATATCTTAAGGCGTATTTTAGTATTTTATATATAATTATAGTATCTTACAATATTGTAGTATCTTCTAGTATCCAAACAGTATCTTGCAATACTGTATCTGATAGTATCTTATTGTATCTTAAAGTACCTTATTGTATCTCATCGTACCTTATAGCATCTTATAGTAACTTGTAGTCTTACAGTTAATTGGATCAATAAACCGTAAACATCTGATGAAATCATCCATAAACCCTTCCATAAGAGATGGCAACTTCACGGCAAGCATCGGAATGTCTTGAGACATTACGAAGCAGCCATTTCCGGTCCACTTCTCCTGGGCCAGGCTGCCAGACATTTAAGATGTTGTTTTTGTCTGACCATGGTCCATGTGATTCCATGTGTATCTGGCTGAAGTACTACACTACACAGAATCTAGAACATGGCTTGGTACCGGAGGATGTGCGACTGTTGGCACTGTGCCTTGATTCATGGGTTTCCCAAGGTTCTGCAGGTCTGGGTTCTTAGCTGAAGTAAACGCCTCATCTTGCAAATGCTCATGTATGTATGGATGGATGGATGGATGCATGGATGCATGTATGTATATATGTATTTATGTATGTATGTATGTGTGTTGTATGTATGTATGTATGTATGTATGTATGTATGTATGTATGTATGTATGTATGTATGTATGTATGTATGTATGTATGTATGTATGTATGTGTGTATGCGTGTATGCGTGTATGTGTGTATGTGTGTATGTGTGTATGTGTGTATGTGTGTATGTGTGTATGTGTGTATGTGTGTATGTGTGTATGTGTGTATGTGTGTATGTATGTATGTACGTATGTACGTATGTACGTAATGTACGTATGTAGGTATTGTAGATATGTAGGTATGTAGGTATGTAGGTATGTAGGTATGTAGGTATGTAGGTATGTAGGTATGTAGGTATGTATGTATGTAGGTAGTATGTATGTATGTATGTATGTATGTATGTACGTAGGTATGTAGGTATGTAGGTATGTAGGTAGTATGTATGTATGTATGTGTTTTGTATGTATGTATGTATGTATGTATGTATGTATGTATGTATGTATGTATGTATGTATGTATGTATGTATGTATGTATGTATGTGTGTGTTGTGTGTATGTTTGTATGTATGTATGTATGTATGTATGTATGTATGCATGCATGTATGTATGTGTGTTGTATGTATGTACGTACGTACGTATGTACGTATGTACGTATGTACGTTTGTATGTACGTATGTACATATGTACGTATGTACGTATGTATGTACGTATGTACGTATGTACGTATGTATGTATGTACATATGTACGTATGTACGTATGTACGTATGTACGTAATGTACGTAATGTAGGTATGTAGGTATGTAGGTATGCAGGTATGTAGGTATGTAGGTATGTAGGTATGTATGTATGTAGGTATGTAGGTATGCATGCATGTATGTATGCATGTATGTATGTATGTAGATAGGTAGGTATGTAGGTATGTAGGTATGTAGGTATGTAGGTATGTAGGTATGTAGGTATGTAGGTGTGTAGGTATGTATGTATGTAGGTAGTATGTATGTATGTATGTATGTATGTATGTATGTATGTATGTAGGTATGTGTGTATGTGTGTATGTGTGTATGTGTGTATGTATGCATGTGTGTATGTGTGTATGTGTGTATGTGTGTATGTATGCATGCATGCATGCATGCATGTGTGTATGCATGTATGTATGTATGTGTATGTGTGTATGTGTGTATGTGTGCATGCATGCATTATGTATATATATATATATGTATATATATATATGTACATATATATATATATAATCCAAACTGTACGTACATACATGCATGCATACATATATACATATGCCTCATGTTCACAGGAAAGTCTGAAGATCTGATAAGTCAAACAGTCATTTGAGTGCCTGCACATGTTGTGAGTTAAAACATCAGGACCCGAACCATCCAATGTTCTGCGATAATTTTGCAACTCTTCCTCCTCAAACAGTGGTTGAGCATAATCCATTAATCTTCCATCCTGAGGTCCTGAAATCTCGGTTCATTCCACGAATCTACCACCTGGTCACTTCCCATTTAATTATAGATGATAAACATGGTGATTGACATTAATTGACCTATGAACAGTGGTGATTTTCCAGTTCACTATGTAACAAATAACCAGGGGGTACCTCTTCAACTCAAGGGTCACCTCTCCAACTTCTTCACCAAGGCTCCCAGGAATGATAATTCTTGCCCAGAAGTCCCTTGCCTTGCACCCCGCGAAAAGGGTATAAGGTATACATGCTCCATGCTGTTTACCTTGACAAACATGTGAAACACGTACACACAGTAGCTATATGTAACTAGATTGTAGTTCAAACTGATGCCCCTCGAAGGCATACTTGAATATACTTGATGCATTACTCAAATGTGTTTGAAAGAAAGACTACCACTGGTCATGCATGGCTAGACACGCAGATATCAGCCCAGCTCATAGGGTTGGTTTTCGGCAAAATCTACAGGAAACATAGGAAACCCAGGATTCATTAGTGCGAATACGGCATTGTCTCTGAATTTGGAACCCCGAAATCCGATGATTCCCATGAATCATGATT